AGGAAGAAGTTTGTTTTTGTTTTTTTAAACCAAGTGCCTTTTATTGTGAAACAACGTGATTAGTCACGTGACTATATGTTTAAGGGAAATAATTCCATTCTCACCACATTTATTCATCTGTTCTTGTTTATTTATTTATCTGTTGTTGCTTGGTTCCTACACTATACTAAGTGATGCAAATGTTTCATATCTCAAAATACGCAACCCCTTTAACAGAAGTGTGAAGCTTTTATTGATAACAAGTCGATTACAAAATCTTCTTCGATAATCTCCTTTAGAAAGTTATTGGCTTTAGTCTCAATATTCATCAAGCCTTGTAAAAAAAAAAAAAAATAAATAAATAATAATAATTTCTTTTGTATTTTCGTTTCACAAACTGAACGAGATCTCGGCTCGGACGGCAACAACAGATCTCGCAGCTTGTCACCTTCATCGACAACGTCAAACCTGTTCGTGTACGCAACTGCGTTTCATTCTTGCCCGCCTCCAAAGCTGAAAAGGATTCGTGCTATTTATATCTAAAGATGTATTTACGAAGGAGAAAAAGGAATCCTGGGATATTTTGAAGTGGGTGGAGACGAAAAAGATACGGGGAAAATTTCTAAACGCTCGCATTCCATTTACAGCACAATTTTCCCGTTTAAATTAAAAATCTAAAATGAATATTAAAAAAAAAAAAATGAAACAAAATAAAAAAAAAAATAGATTCTTCAGTGTAAACACACACACATATATATATATATATATATATATATATATATATATATATATATATATATATATATATACTGAAAGCAATCTTGCATTTAGAGATTTTATTGAGAAGCGAATTATTAAATGATTTTATTGATTGAATGCTAGGGAATTACATCCTGCAAAAATTCATGTTGAATTTCTTTAAAGAACTTCATCTGCTGGAGGGGGGGAGAGTAGACACGAACGTACATTTTTAAATGAAGTGACCCGTTAACTTATCTCACGGTTCTGATGCAAGAAATGTTTTATTTAATCGGCAAATGAGCTAGAAAGTATTTTTATTTTCCGTATTTCATTCATTTAATTTTATTCAATTTTTCAAATGACATTAATAAATGACAGGATTAAGATAAATTCGACAAAAAAAAAAACCCCATAAATAAACGAGGACCGATATGAGCTGTGGAAATGTGCACATTCTTCGTTAATTTAAATCTCGAACTGAAAGGGGGTTTTTTTTTGGGGGGGAGGCTATATACAGTGAATACCCAAATAGAATTATGACTTAATGTTAGTTTCTCTACATATACAAATTGATGGATTTTATTTTGTTTTACCAACCCTTTATTTAAATTCAGAAAATATTTCTTCGCTGTAAGAATTTTTTTTTTTTTTTTTTTTTTTTTTAAATAAAAATGATTTACAGATACAGGTTTTATTAATTAACCCATAGCTGAATCCATACCTTCCCCTAGGGTATTAACATGACAGACTTGTCAAATTAGATTACCTCCAATGTACAAACTCAAGAGAGTCTCCATCTTTTTTTTTTTTTTTTATCTACAGCGTGATTGAAAAGTAACTCTCTATTTTATGCATGAGTAGCCAGCCACTAGTCCCGATTCTGGCATTTTTATTTAGGGTTGGTTAAATAAGCAAGGCTACTATACCAAACCAAAACTTTGGAAGAACTCAAAGGAGGAATACAAGAAGTTATGTCTTTTATACCACAAAAGTTCCTGGAGAAATCAGTTGATACGATTCCTGGGCGACTCGAGAAGCTGATAACAAAATCTGGTGCCCATATTGAATTTTAAATAGACCCTCAGGTTAAATGTTTTCCTCTCATATTCATTTCCTGTAAAAATTAAAGTTAATAAATAAATTATAAGTATTTAAAATTGAGTTACTTTTCAATCACTCTGTGTATAAGTTATAAAAGAAATCACTAATGTATCTAAGTATCCGTTGCTATGTCAGCTATTAAGTTGGTTTACGACGCACGAGCTCGGCGGTTTCTCTCTTCAGAATCTACCTGACATATCTATATCGCCCTGTCGGGTGAGGCTTCTGAATACGCCGGCTGCTCCTCGGCAGCGGGTTACCTCCTAATGAGGCCACGTGTTTTCTGTAGGTGGCAACCACTAACGTCTGGGGACGGGATCCTGGTGCTTGAGGGCTTCAGAAGTCTGGGTTAGATACTTCTGATTCCCAAAAACCACTAACTTGAACTAGATGCGCGGTCGGAGATTCCTGATCCGCTCAATCGGCTGGTCGCGTCAAGCCCTAATTTAAAGTAACGAAAATTGAGGGAAGAAAATTTGGTCACCACTCAAACGTACCTCAAAAGTAAATATGTAAAAAAAAAAATTGTTTGAATTAAAAGGCGGCAGCTCTAGGGCCAATCACTTTAGAAGGAAAGAACTACGGCGCATCTTAGATACGCCAGACGTTTCATTAGTTCTTGGGTAGCGAAACCAAATGGAAATAAAGAACTTGTGGCCACCCTTCAAATGTATGTATAGCCTTCGTGTAGCTCTGTCTTATCAAGACGAATTGGGTTCCCTCCCTTGATATTTCCCATTAAATTAGACTGTGGCGGGTAGGAAGCAGCGACGGTGAAATGATAAATCCTTTAACAACTCCTGCTTCCTTTTTTGATGGATAGAAACTAACGCATAGAGGGACAACACATGGGTGCAGATTAGGAGAAAGAAGGGAGGGGCTCACTTTGTCATCTTGGAAACCCTTGATTAAACTCCACTTACGAAACTATCTCTCTTCCTTATCAAAGACATTATATCCTCAAAACTAAAGTCCAAAAATATTTTTAAAAAAAAACGTTAAAAATAGCAAGATTTAGTTTGAGGTAGATAAAGACATGCGGAGATATTACTAAAAATGACATCTCATAATGAAAAAAAAAAATACATACCTTCACCAAAAACTGAACACCTCACGAGTGTGGGGCTGCAAAATAAGGAACTCTCTCTATGTACCATTGAAGAGATAAAGAAGTAAAAAAGCATGGCGTCACGAATGAATGAAGAGTGACTATTAAAACGAATAATAAAACTATCCAGACCAACACTTACATCCTGGCATTCAATGTACCAATTAACTTGAAAGAGATAAAAATAGGATATAACTTAGAAAAGACTGACCCCTTCATCCCAAATCTTCTCCGTTGTTACAACTGCCAGAGATTTGGACATCATGAAGACGGATGCCATAAGGCCGTATGCTGTTGATGCATATCATCGATCCCACCATAAATGAACGTAAGCGATATATGTAAATGTGAAACTTGTGGAGAAGTACATTTGCCAATGTATGTAAGATTTGAAGAAAAGAAAAAGAGATACCGAATGTAAAACATACCAAAATCATTTCTTTCCCCAAAGCATGTAAGACTGTGGAGAGTATTATAAAAGAGAAAAGTAATGCTGAAATAATAAAAATTAATATCAGTATCTGTCTATATTTCTGAGATGAGGTATTATGTACACTATTTACATCATTCGGACTATTGTTCTCATCTTTGTTGCCATATTTATTACAATGTTTCGGCCTTTCAGTATCTGTCTATATTTCTGAGATGAGGTATTATGTACACTATTTACATCATTCGGACTATTGTCCTCATCTTTGTTGCCATATTTATTACAATGTTTCGGCCTTTCAGTATCTGTCTATATTTGTGAGATGAGGTATTATGTACACTATTTACATCATTCGGACTATTGTCCTCATCTTTGTTGCCATATTTATTACAATGTTTCGGCCTTTCAGTATCTGTCTATATTTCTGAGATGAGGTATTATGTACACTATTTACATCATTCGGACTATTGTCCTCATCTTTGTTGACATATTTATCACAATGTTTCGGCCGTTGTACGCTCCGGCTTTCTTCAGGTGGTTTGAATGTCGAACTGAACCCTTTATTTCGCTCACTGGTGTAGACTGTTCTAGTTCCACGTGCCATGTCTAATGGATGTCAGTTATCTCTTGTTAATTCACCTGCCCAAGTTCTCCACTGCCTTAACCGAGTCTTGAACTCACAACTCTTTGCGTTCTGCCACTGGATCTAACCAACGCCTTTATCCACTGGTCGTTAAGGAAATTAATATTCCAGAAAATCATCAGAAATACGAAGATTAATTCAATTAGGACCATGTGATCGACCGAAATTTATAAATGAAATACCGCACTATCAGACCAAGTCTGATGGAGAATGAGTCTCTACTGTATAATGTAATGGAGGCCAAAATAACAATGCTTCCACGCAGGTTATCCAAAAGTCACCGAACAAAAATAATTTAATAAAACAAAGATTACCAAGATCTCCAATTTGCTCCCCGACTTCCATCGAAGAAAACGTCCCAACAAAAAATCTCTAGAGAGAAATCTCCCAAGGAAAATACAATAATGAAAGTTCTCCACTGCCAAGGACACATGGCACAGTGGATAAAGGCGTTGATTAGATGCAGGGTCAGCACCCAAAGAGTGTGAGCTCAATACCCGGTTAAGGTAGTGGAGAACTTTCAGAGGGAAAATTAACAGGAGATAACTGATAACTGACACCCGTTAAACATAGCACGTGGAACTAGAACAGTCTACCCCAATTTAAAGACAGTTTTATGTAAGCAGGTCGTTACTTTTCGTACAAACAATTATTGTTTATTTCATGGGCGACTTTCGCTGGATTTTAAGATTAATTTCGATTATCCCCAAATTTATTCCCAAGTTATAAAAATTGTTACCCTACGCAGTAAGGAAAAGTCGGGAATCCAAAATTTCAGGATTACGAGTCCAGTTCGGAATGATTTCAATTTGCTCACGGAATGTGCTCGATTCCAAAATATGTTGGGCTCTTACTAATTAATCCATAGCTAGAAGGAGAAGAGATGGATTTTTTTGTGAGTAAGTGAATATAACTAACCTAACGGGAAGTAGAACACTGCTCTCCAATTAACAATTCCGAACCATTATCAATTACACCGCCTGCACATCCTAGATTAAAGCACATGGTATTCTCAAGCGGTCACCCATCTAGGTACTGACTAGACACGACGTTGCTTAACTTCAGTGATCGTACGGTAACCAATGTTTCGACAGTCTGTGTCCATAAGACATAAAAAGGTATTAGTTTCACTTGAAAATAATAATATATTTTAAAATGCGTGCTTGAAGAATTTGTTTGTTCCTTTTTTCGATATTGCGAGCGTATTTCTGAGAAACTGAAAATTTTCACTGCACTTCTTCCTATTTTCAACATACCGAGGGTCAATCGTAGATTTTGGGTGAAGCAGAATCTTCTATTTAATCCGTGGAAGACCTGGAGTCATGCCTTTTCCAATGTGATTTGTGCGAAATTGATCGCAACTGACGAGAGCGAGACTTGAACTTTTCTCGCCGGTTGCACATTTTATATCTACTCATCCCTATACATTAACATTCATAATTGCTGAAACTCCATTTCTTTTTCTTTTTCTTTTTAATTAATCCTGACTCAGCAAATATTTATGGAGAATTTATTGGGCGCTGACTCGCTTAATAATATTTTATATATGCACTGTCATGTCGCTTTAAGACGTCGGGTTTTATGGTTGTCTGCCGCTTCTTTCTTTTTTTTATTCTTTAATGTGTGTGAACTGCTATGAGAGATAATGGAGTGGTCCCACATTCCTTTGTCCTAGCTTTGGAATTCAGTTTCCTTATCTCATATTGGCTGCTACCCAAGGCTAGAGAGTTCAGTGAAAACAGCTATTTAACGCATAGCTTGGAGAAACAGAGTACGCAGAAAACAAATACTGCTTTTTATTTTTACGTTTTAATTTTTTTTTTAATTAATTCAGAAAGCATTTGTAAACTATAGGAACTGTCCATGCAAAAAAATAAAAATCGTCGTGTAAATTTCACTTGACTGAAATATTTCATTTTAAAATTCGAGCTTCTAATACTTCTACATCTTGTGGTTTTAGTCTCAGCCTGCCCTTTTATATTATTTATGAGAAACTGGACATTATCATATCACTTCTTTCTATTTTCAACATGTCCAGAGATAATCACTGCCTTCTGGTGAAACGGGAGACAGGAGCCAACCAGAAACCCAGAGAAGCCATCACATAAACAAAAACCTTAAATGTTTTTTACGCAACACCATTCTTTATGTAACTCGAGAGTCGCGATAAATTTTAATCTTAAATTTATTGCTTTCTTCGAGAATTAAAACGGCCGATAATTTTACAAGAAATCACGGAACAAGGTTCTAAAATCAAACTGATTATGATTGATTCTTTTCTACATTGCTTAAACTATTGGAATTTTTTTAATTAGTTTGTTCTTCAGCTTATTCGGCTTTTGGGGGGTAAAAAATTCCCCAAAATGCTGCTGAACCAATTGTCAATAGCAATCAAATACAAATGCTTTAGAAAATTGACAGCTATGTATAATAATAATGCTTCCATTATGTTTATTCTTTTTTACATATGGATGAGGCTATTATATTTGTATTATCAATGAGTGTTACGGATAAAGTTTGGTAGATCTTCATGTGTTTTTAAATGGTCCTAACAGAGCTATGGTCAGAGATGTAGCAAGAAACTTAAATACACATGGAGACCTACTAAACTCAATCCATAATATACTCGTTTATATATATATATATATATATATATATATATATATATATATATATATATATATATATATATATATATATATATATATATATATATATATATATATATATATATATATATATATATATATATATATATATATATATATATATATATATATATATATATATATATATATATATATATATATATATATATATATATATATATATATATATATATATATATATATATATATATATATATATATATATATATATATATATATATATATATATATATATATATATATATATATATATTTATACACACACTGCGTGCCAAATTATTATCGAGATAACTTTTTCTAATATTTCAAAAATCGTCCAATCAATTCACACAAAATTTTCACACAATAACTAACACTAACCTGCGTAATCACTGAAATTTTCGTACTGATCTGCGCAATGTTAACAAACTGGCGCCATATTTGTTATCAGCACGGTGATTTGAGCGTGCCAAATTATTAGATCCATTGAATTTGTTAATTGTAGGATGTCATCTGCTGTAATGCCGCGAGGAATGTCAAGAATTGCTTCCCACAACTCAGCGTTGCTCCTAAATTGTCGCTTCATGATGCTGCAAAGGTTTTCGATTGGGTTCAAATCCGGAGAATTTGCTGGCCACTTCATTTTTCGAGGTCCATCGAAGCCTAACTCTTTCAAATATTCAGTAGTCTTATAAGCAGCATGTGAGGGAGCGTTACCTTGCATAAAAACAATGGCCCTTCTGAAGGCAACTCTTTGTCTTTTCATCCACATTTCAAGATGCTCCTTCATAAACGCTATGTATGCATCAGCAGTCATTTTGATGCCATCTGGTACTCTCCATGGGCCCACTAATGTTTTTTCAGTAATACCACTCCAGATCAGTATGCCTCCACCGCCTTGTTGGCATCTCAAACGCTGATGGCGATTCTGTCCGTTCATTACCCAGCCTTTGCACCATCTACCTTCCCCATCAAGTTTTGCTCGAGTTTCGTCTGTGAACAAAACTTTAAAGAAGTCAATCTTCATATTGTTCTCGACCCATTTCAATCGATTTTGAATGTGATTTCTCGTCAACGGACAGTTGTTGATATTTCCCTCAGATACCGACACCGAGTACTTTTAGACACAGTAGGATCCCCAATGTGATTGAAAAGCTCTTGACTGGTGAGTCCAGGGTCCTTCGTCGCCTCTCGTTTAAGTCGTGACATGAGACGACGTGAAATAACCCTCGGCTTGCCTTTATCTGCCCTTGCGTACTTGTGTAGGGTCGGCGGTGAAATTTTTCACTGTTTGATGACACCTCCCTATCATTTTAGAAATTTCTACGGTAGATTTACCGTTTGAGAGTTCTGAAATGAGTTTCTTTTCAGCATCACTTAAACTGCTTTTACGGCCCATCTTTTCACTAAATTCTTACACTTTTCTAATAATTTGGCACGCTCAAATCACCGTGCTGATAACAAATATAGCGCCAGTTTGTTTACATTGCGCAGACCAGTACGATAATTTCAGTGATTGCGCAGGCCAGTGTTGCCAACATTGTGTGCTAGAGACTCACCGGTGGCCGGCGAGTGGCTGCGACCAGAGGACCGCAGGCGTTGCCATCGGCGGCCCGCCAGCGGACTACTTGTGTGTAGAGCTTCAAAACTGATATTCTGTCTGAGACTTTCAAATATCTGTGGATGTTATTCTTCCGTTTGTTATTGATGAAAAAAAATCATTTCCATGATATTCAGTTTCCAAAACTATTAACCTGTGCTCTGATAGAAATATCATGTCCTTCTTTCAGTTGTGCCGACTCCATGAAGCATATGTCCATTTTTATAACTAGCAGCGTCCCCAGCTGATAATGTCTGCTTTTCTATCTTCACAAATCCTCCAACGTTAAATGCCTCGACGGTAAAATCTCTATATGCAACTGGAGGCATTTAGAAAATTTAAAGTTACCAAATTAAACGACTGACAGACATAGCCATTATGTGTTCCGCTGTTATAAACGTCTTTAAAGTAAAACGAAACGCAATAAATGTATGTCAAAATATCTTTTAAGAAAAATAGGATATATGAAAATAAATACTTCTGAGTGTATTTCAGAATCTCCTAAATGTAGTGACAAGTTATATAATATGATGTATAAAAATACTTACAAACTTTGGGACGGGTTCCTCGCGCCAAAACAAGGACAAAAGTCCATATAAACATGTCCGCATATCCTTCGTTTTTGAGTTTGAAGTTTAAAGGAAGTTTACAGTTGATGGCGCTGTGTAGCCGTGTAGACTAGGTTACATTTGTTATTCGTGTACATTAGCGGCTAGTCTGTCTTGAATGTTTAATGTGTGTAGCAGTGACTTAACTGAGAACTGATCCGTTTAACAATGCTCGGATATTCATATCGTGAGCAGGCAGGTATGATTTTTACATACTGTCGCACGAATTGTAATGGACGCAAGGCTGCACGGCTGTATCAGTTTGCGTTTCCAGATCGAAACTGTATCGAGTCATTCAACCTTTGCTGCTGTTTATCATTGCGTTGCTGTAAAGGTATCCGTGGCACCACAAACGATGGTAATAAGTATTTTTTGATTGTATATTTAACAGCGTCTACCGTAAATTTTAAACTAAATAACTCAAAAACCAAGAATTTTCGGACATACGTTTATGTGTACTTTTGTCCTTGTTTTGTTGTAAGGAACCTGCTTCCAAAGTTTATAAAAATATTTTTGATACGCCCTGTATATATAACTAGAATAATGCCCGTCAAAAAGATGTAATGTATTGACAATTTAATGTTGAAGAGTTCTCTGGTGTTCTTATCCAAGAGAAAGCTCCAGGCCCATCTATAAATAATTCCGGCATTTTGAAGAGTACTAAACTACAGTATGTGCATATGCAATATGCATAATACACACACACACACACACACATACATATATATATATATATATATATATATATATATATATATATATATATATATATATATAGGTCATAATTCAGTTTAAATATCTTACTGAAATTGGATATTTCGTTTAAGGTTTTATTACATTTTCAAGTTTGTGTGTAACATATGGCACATTCGCATCAAATATGCGTACTGGAACAAAATCAAGATGCTGTCTGAAATTGGTGTCTATCTTAGAGTACTTTCAACCATTTCTGGTCATTATCACATTCCATTAAAAAGTTTCTTTGTTTATTAGCTCTATCCTGCCATTTTAAGGATCGCTATAATTCTGATTTAAATATTAAATAATTTCCGTTTTTTGTTTACAAGTTTCATTCCTCGAAAAATAAAGTGCAATAACGTTCCATTTCATATTCAGTATCATTTACAATGAAAGAAAGTAATCGTTTAGTGTAAACGTAAATATGTTGGGTGAACTAGAATAGAAACACCGAGTTCCAAAAAATGCTTTCTTGCGTTATTTAGAATGTATGCAGTCATGGATTATCATTAAGAACATTTTTTTTCTATTGATGATCGAAGGATGCTTTTCGACCATAATTTTATCGACACGTTGCAGCTACTGGGCAAATAAATGTGCATATAGTATTTCAGATATATTTTTAAAATCTGTAAATTAACAATACCTTAATAATCGTACCGCATAGACAAAGTTACCTTTGTATGGACTTCAACTTTTGTCGTCAGCTGTGAAGACTTATCCTTATCAATCAGCGCCTTTTGGGTTGAGCATTGTCACATGTAACCCATTTTCATCACCTTTCATGTTACAGAAAAGTGGTTCTACAGAAGGATACTGAGAATTTAATGGACAGACCGAGTAAACAACGAGGAAGACAATGAAAATTGTATAGATTTTGATTAAAATTCATTAGGTTTTGTTACGAATCCTTGAATCTGATTGAATGGTCAGGTAAATATGGCTGTTTGGACAGAAGAAACCAAACGAGTTTCAAAATATTTCTTGTATGTTGTCTTATGTTGTCATGAGGGAGAACAACATTTTTCATATTGACGAGTCTATTTTGATGAAACTTTTATGGACACGTTCTGGCTGCTGGACATAAAAATGTGCAATTAATGTTTCATTGCAGCGTTTTAAGAACTTTAAAGGAATATGTCTACGTTTTTGACTCTTAACAAAGGAAATCCATATCTAGATATCTATTTTTAATAAAACGATAAAATTAGCCATTAAATAAGCTAGAAAACATTGGTTCGTCGTAAAACAAACGACAATGGGAATAGAAAAAGACTATCTTAAGAATTACACTTGGAATATTCGTTTTTTTTTTGCTAATTTTCGGAAGCGTTTTGTACTTTGACCGATAAATCTATTTTAATTGAAGAACCGTCATTACTTTTGACCGTCCGTCTGTGTTATATATATAATATATATATATATATTTTTTTCTTTACTTTTATTTATATTTATTTACATTTTTGTTGATATTTACATATTTAAATTTTATATTTAAAGCGCATTTGTGAGTTGGTATGTGCTCATAATCTGCATGAAAACTTAATTGCGTCAACTTTTAACGGGTTGTCAAATTTTAGGCAAGTTAATAAATCATTTTTTTTTTATTCAAATTTGTTTTCCTTTTTTCTTTTTTTTTTATTTGTGCTCAACTGCTTTCACGCACCCAGCATTTAATGTGTCTGTATTTTCTGGCCCTCTTTTCTAAGACAGTTGCCTTACGGCGAAGAAAAAAAAATGTGGAAGAAATTTAGGAAATTGTCAGAAAACCGAGAAGGAAAAGATTTAATGGCGTTAAGAATGAAAACAAAACAAAAAAATTTAAGAACTGCTGAACAAATTATGAAAGAGAAAATAAGAGAAATCGTGAAAAATAAATCCGGAAAAGAGAAGAAAAAGAAAGATAAGTAACGGGCGCGAAAAAAAAAAGAGAAATGCTAGAGGGAGAAGTGAAAGAAAAGGAACGGGGAAGAGAATGATATGTCGAGAGGGAGGGAGGGGAGAAGGAAGAAGACAATGAGAAATCGAGAGAAAGGGAGGGAGAAGAGAATGACTAGTAGACAGAGGAGGAGAAGCAGGGAGAAGAGAATGACAAAGAAAGAGGATGACAAGGAGAAGGAGTGAGGGAGAAGAGGAGGAGAAGGAGTGGGGGAGAAGAGGATGACAAGGAGAAGGAGGGGGAGAAGAGGATGACAAGGAGAAGGAGTGGGGGAGAAGAGGATGACAAGGAGAGGGAGTGGGGGAGAAGAGAATGACAAGTCGAGAGAGAAGGAGTGAGAGTAGGAGGAATAACATTATTTCTTTGTTAGTTCTTACACTGTAAGAAGTCAGTGTCGATAAAAGACATGAAAGAAGACAGAAAGCAAAACCGTGAACGCGACAAGAAAATGAGAAATCAATATCCAACTCTAGCAACAATTCCATGTTCTGAAACGTTTATGTAATTGCCATCCGAAGACCAGAATCTCTGAATATAACTACCAGAAGATTTAACAACAATAGTGTTTAAATCGCATTACGTTTTGCTTCTTATTCAAACTAAGGTCATTTGTGAATTCCCATTGTAACCAGCTTTCCGTTGCTTATTTTATCGGTTCTTTAATAAAGCTCCTTTGAAGAAAGGCTGACAGTAGATCAATCTCTTAAATCTATTGTCCAGGTACGACTTGTCTTGTCAACGTAACAGTTCTCGAGAACAATGTTCGAATATCAATATTTATCAACGCTAAATGGTCATCGTGTAGAACAAGATGGGGAAATTAGACTACAATACGTATATCGGTTCCGACTGTCATTTTCAAGCGTCGCTCTGGCATGAGCAATTCTTTTTCATATTAATTGGGGTAGAGTCCTTTCTTCGTTCAGGTGTTGCTTTTGACCGCTAATTTCTCTGTAGAATTTCCCTCCAACGATAAACAGCCTGAAGTAGGAATAATGATGAAGTTTCTAACGTCACATTCTACAAGTTGGTAATTCCCACACTAGGATTTCCCGGTGGACCCCGTAACTGATTCCAGTCCCATGGGAGAGAGCAAATAGATTGTTTGCTCCTCATAGAGTATTTAACATATTTTTTCAACATTTTCTGGGGTTCACTTCAGATTTCCAGTAGACCCTTTTTTTAATGGTATCCCCCATGCAAGCTACTAAGGCATAAGGAGTTACTATGTGTGAAATAAGAAAAAGGTGAAACATTATTAAGGAGCGAGAACAATAGAAAAGTAATCAAGACGACAGAAGATAACGATTGACATTTGAATTTTTGAAAATCAAAGTTGGCTGAAAAGCATGGTGCCAGAAAAGAGTTCCACAAGCGAGAAGTGCGAGAAAAGAAACTGTTAGCTTAGAACTTACGGCTATGTCTAACCAACTCAATTGTGAATTGATGAGATCTTGTAGCCAATCTAGGACTGCGCTTAAATTTAGAAAGTAGAAAGAGCGATATTTATTTTGTAATGAAATTACAAAAATGTGGCCGTCCTTGGTATGACGATAAACTGCTTCCGACAGCAAGGCCTCTGTTCAGGATGTTTAGAGGAGCGTGGAACCACCTCTTAATTGCTGATATTCCCAGGTCCACCCTGACCCGTGGTGGTAGCACCTGTTAGGGTCACAGCTATGAGCAAATATTTAACACCCAAACGCAGACTACATTCTCGTTCTGGGTACGACGATAAACTACATCTGCGTGCTGGGTGTGACGATAAACTACATCTGCGTCCTGAGTAAGACGATAAACTACGTCCAACAGCAAGGCTTCTGATCAGGAGGTTTTGAGGAGCGTGGAACCACCTCTTAATTACTGACCCGGGGTGGTAGCACCTATTAGGGTCCCAGTTATGGGCAAATAGTTAACCCCCAAACAGGAGTCAAAACACAATGAAAGTTTAAAAATAGATTTTAATACCAGTAATATTTTTAGGAAGAATTATTACCAGCAATACATTATTAAAGAAAAAATATTACTAGCAATAAAAATCTTGTCGGCATTAAATAACCCATAGAGGTTGATATGCCCTAAAACAAACCGAATCAAACCAAACAAAAATGTGGCACAAGTCCAAAAGGGGTTGGGGGGAAAAGGATGGTCACCTTCTGTCTTATGATTAAACTTAGCTAGCCACAATCACTGACCCAGTTAAGGACCAATAATATTACTGATTCTTCTTCTGGGTTTTATCAAAAACATCTAAATATACAGCAGGTGTATCGGATCATATGTGGCAACAATATTCTAAGCATGGACGAATGGTAGACTTAGACTCCATTTGGATCATATGGCTCCCAGGCTCTCCTGTGTTGATCTCCACAGCTTTCATGTCGCGTCTCACGACCTCATGATACAGCAGAGGTGTTCGCCCGGCGGGTCTCCTTCCAGAAGCCAGCTCTCCATACAGGAGGTCTTCAGGGATGCGGCCGACTGGCATGTGATGGACATTGCCCAACCAACGAAGTCTGCACTATCTAACAGTGTGAACATGCTGGGCAGACCTGTTCGAGACAGGACCTCAGTGTTGGGCACCTTGTCTTGATACGCTATTACCAGGATGCGGTAGATGCTTCTCATGAGAAAGGTGTTCAGACGCCTTTCTTGCTTGACGTACGTGGTCTACATGTGCTGATGACGGAGGGGTTGTAGACTGCCATCTTGGCCTTCACCGTCAGCTTGGGATTGGTCTACACACGTGTTGTGAGGCACGGAGGGTTGTGTCTGCCTTCCCGATGCTCTTGTCAATCTCTGCGTCTAAGGAGAGGTTGTCAGTGATGGTGGAGCCAGGGAACGTGAACTGATGAACAGCATCGAGCCTATAGTCGTCAATGGTGATGACTGGTGGTGTTTTGGTACCTTCTCCCTAGACATTGGCCTTTTTCAGGCCTGGGAGAAACGGTTCATCAGTGACTGAAGTTCACGCTGGGTGTGTGAGCCTCTACCGCCGCATCAACGGCAAAAAGCCTGTCTCTGACAAGGGCTTCACGTACGTTGGTTCTGGCTCTGAGGCGGGCGACATTCAACAGGCCACCGTCTGATCTCGTGCGCAGATAAATACCTTCTCCTGGAAACGCAATGTTTCAACTGCAAAGGCGACGGCGGATGCGGCGGTGGTGTCAAAGGCGGCGGCTGCTAATGCTAATGACCATGCGAACGCGTTCACGGATAAAATATCCGACCTTGGTGCCATCAACCGGCGAACGGAAGGCGAAGTTGTGTCGAAAGATTCTTCGGTAGGGAATGAGGTACGCGAAGAAAAAGAGACGACGCACGAGTGTTGGCAGCACTGTCCCCTCACATCTGCCTGCCGAATCACGATGGGCCTCCACGATATACGGCGAGCGATAAAGGGTTACATCTTCTCCTGATGCATGCTTCAGAAGCAGAGCGAAGAAGATCCCGAAGAGTGTGGGAGCGAGTACGCAGCCCTGTTTGCCGTTGATCTTTCAGCTCGAAAACCACACTACGACTGTGTGTTCGGCGAGTTTCTGCAGGTGGACCAAGATGACCCGAGCGAAGACTTTGCCCACAGCGCTGAGTAGCGAGATGCATCTCTAGTTGTTGCAGTCGCTTTGCTCACCTTTTTTTTTTTTTTTTTTTTTGAGGATGAAGATCTTGGCATATTTCATGTCCTGATGTATGGCTCCCTCTATCAAGCACTTGTGGAGGACCTCGTGCAATGGGAGCGGTAGGGCAGTTTTGCAGTGCCCGGTCAGGGGGATCCCGTCACTGTCAGGGGAGTTCCTTGGGGTCAAGCTGTCAATTGCCTTGCTAAGCTCCTCTATGGTCGGTTCGATGTCGAGGTCCTCCATGACCGATAGGAACTCAATAGGATCAGTCGTCACAGCATTCTACCTGAAATAGAGGTCGGAATAGTGTTCCACCCATCTCTCACTCTGTTGCCCTTTGCCTGCGATGATTTCCCCGCTGGTGGATTTGAGGGGAGCTGCACTGACCCCATTTCCGTCTTGATGTCATCGTACATTGCACTGATGTTCTCTGTAATTGTTGCTGTTTTGATGGTTTCGCTAGGCTCTGATAAGCTTTGGTCCTGGCAGCCCGAAGGATCTACAGGTTTCTCTTGCTGAGTGACCGCTTATATTCTGCAAGAGCGACGCGCCCGGCTACAATGACAGGAGTCATCTCGGCGGACTTTGGACATATGTAGGTAAAAAATGAAATTGTTAGAAAATTCTGTACAAAAACTTGTTGTATAGTGAAAATAAGATTTGGAAAAAGACACCTATTTATTTTTATTTGCATGTAATATTTATATAACAATTATGTAATAATAAATATTAATAATAAATTATTATATTAGAAATAATAACTAATAAATAAATAACTAATAAATGTAATAATAAAGTTTAATATAATATTCATGTCATATTTATAATATGTATTTTTACAAAGAAATATTAAAATTAAAATTGTATTATTTACAAATGGGTTTCCAGAAATATTGTTTTACTTTTTTTTATTTTAAACAGTATCGTTTTTAGCTTTTCAAAAAGTTTGTAAATGTTTTATTCCCACGTACTGAGGCGTGAGTCTTGAACAAATAAAAAAAATCAAGGGGCGTAACTGGTTTTCTATATCGCTTATCGTAAGAAAAAATATGGCAGAATCTATTTTGACAGACGTGTCTCTGGTTTATGCAATGAATTGAGTATTAAACTTGCTAATAAAAATATTTCTTTATTAATAAGCTTTTGTTCGGTGTAGTCGCATTGGTAAAATGGGAATATATTAAAATTTGGTAGATTTCGTCCTCCGCATTCTTCTATATGTTGCCTAATGGGTATTTTTCTGATATGAGGATCCCTAATTTTTTGGCGATGAACCTCTGACCCTTTGTCGGAGGGTCTGGTTGGTTTGGCTAAAGTAATGTTCATGTCAACCTTTTCATTATTATGTATATTAAATTCTCTGAGTTGCACAAGAAATCATTTTGAATTTGGAATTTGGATCCATCTTTGGAGTGAAATTCGTGTCCTTCTTCTAATAGGTAGCTGCATACTCCGCAGAGGGGTCGGCTGCATCATTTCAATTGAGGGTCTTTAATTGTGTTCGACAGTTTTGCATTCGTCAGTATCTTTTTTAGAGATTTTGGTTGTCGTTTACTTTTTATGATTAGGTATTTTTTAATAGGTTTTTCATTTATTTTTTTATTTCTCTTTTGGTAGGATTGGTAGATTTAGTTGTATGTATGTGTCGATTTCTGTGTTCTTTGGTTTGAAAGTTGAAATATAACGGATGACCTTTTTTTTTTTTCGTTTTGTTTCTCGGAGTGTGGATATTAATTTTGTTTGCGTTTTCAATGCTATTGTTGTTGATTAAACTTTGATAGTATTTGCTCTTGAATATTTTTTCTTCTAGTCTGTAGTCTTCTGCTGTTGTGCTTGATATCATTGTACAGATCCGCTTGGCTATG